CCAGCTACACGCTAGGGGACCAAGCTGTCCAGGTTTGCCCGGGACCACTGTGCAGTCCCAAGCAAACCTGCCAGAATGGTCTTTCCTGTTCACCGTCTGGCTTCTTTTAGCTCCGGGGGGAAGGGGGGCACACTAGATGCCACTCTCTCAGGAGGGCCTTCCCAGACCACCCTGTCTTAGTGATCAGCCTCCCCCCAGTGCTGGGGCACAAAGCTGGCTTTCCATGCCTGCAGGTCTGTCCCCACCCTGTAGAGAGTGCTGGGCCTTGCAGTGGCTGCCCACACTTCCCTGCCCCAGTCATGGGTGGAACACAGGACGGTGTGGGGCTGGCCTTTCTTAGGGAGAACCTGTGTCCAGCTCAGAGCTGCTCATCCTGGCTGCATATTTCAACCATCTAGGGAGCTTCCCGAAGAATTCCAAAGGCAAGACCTCACCTCCCCCAAATTAAGCCAGAATTCTTTGGGGCGGGGCCCTGACATCTGCATGTTTTTAATCAGTGGTAGAAAAGCCTGGGTTTAGATCCCAACTCAGGCACTCCCAAGCTGCATGGCCTTGGGCAAGTCACTTGGCCTCTGGGAGTCGGGGCTTCCTCTTTGTACAATAGGAAAGTCTCCCCCGTGTTGTAAGAAGTGAAAAGGGACAGGCACAATAAGTCTCATTAATATTTGCTCTGTCCTGGCTCTTTCTGTTGCTGAATGGATAGTTCATGAGCATCAGGAACCAGTCTGAGCGCTGGGGCTTTGGAAATAGCTGTGTCTCACCACCCCAGACATGTAGCCCCGGTGTCCAGGGTGACCACGGCTACACACGGGCCCGGTAGGCTGGGCCAGGTGCCCCTTGGCCCAGATACCAGGGGCCTGGATTTGTCACGACCCTTCCACACTCTGTTATAAACACGCACCTGCCTCCTTGACTGTGAGCTCTGAGAAACCCATGCTGAGTCCCAGGGCTCAGCACAAAGCAGGCTCCGCGCAGGTGCTGGGGGAGTGAATGAGGGCGGGAGCCAGCGAATGCGCCCACAGCTGGCATAGCCAGGTGCTCGTGGGTCATTTCAGGGCCCTCTCTGTGACAGGACTGTGCTTCCGAGAGGCTTCTCTTGACCGCCCCATCCAGTGACCCACCTGCAGGCCAGCACATGTCCCAGCATGCCTTGCAGAGGGCACTTTGGACTAATGTTTTCAAAAAGTCTATTCCAGAAACTTTAATGTAGTCAATATAGCAGGTGGTGACCATCGTTCTGTTGTTTTATTTTTTTCCTTTTTTGAAAAAACAGAATAAACTGTGGAATAAAATACCAAAGTAAATTGCACATTTTATAATAATAAAGTCAGGACACTTTATTTCCTCACACTTTGTTCAGTTATATGTGAAAATGGAGGTCTACAGACACAAGGAGTGCTGATTTGGGTCTGTGTTAGGGAGCTCTGCACCAACACCTGGTATGAGGGACAGTGAAGGCATATAACAAGGAAATGGTGTTCAGAGGCGTGAGGGAGCAAGCCCAATGTGTCACGAATTATCCAGGGTGGAGCTGGACTCCAGCCCAAGTTTCTTACTCCATTACCCGGGCCCTAATTCATCCACACCTCTGTGGAGGCCCAGGGTCTCCTCTGGCTCAGGAGCACTGAGGTGGGTGAGTCTTCTCCACTGTGGCCCTATGCAGACAGGTGTCTGAGTTGCAATTCCAGGAATCATAGACTTTGGCCTGTGGCCACTGAGTGCATCAGTTGGGGCTATTTTGGTTGCAAGTAACAGGAAACCCAACCCAAACTGGTGAAACAAAAAGGGAATTAATTGTACCCCATAATTGAAAGGTCAGAGTAGCACTACCTTCAGGAATGGTTTGATCCAGATGAAACAACGTCTTCAGGACCCTCTCTTGCCATATCTTTGCTCTGTGTTGCCTCCTTGCTCAGACAGCTTCTCCCTTCACAGCAGCAAGCCTCACATTCCCTCAGTCTAGCTGAGGTCTAGCTAGAAAGAAAAGGAATGTTTCTTTCTGGTTGCCCTTCCTCCAGTCCCAGGATTTGACCATTTGGACCAGGTCTCCATCCCTGTTCTGTTCTGTGGCTGGGGCATCCAAGGCGCTAATTGGCCAGGCCTGGGTCACATGCTTCTGCCCTGGAAACACCTGGATGGATTATGGGAAAGGGACTGTTCCTGCAAATGCATCAAGGTGCTATTTTAAAAGAAGGGAGGATGGATGCTGGTGGCAATGATAATAGTAATAGATGTCCACTCCACTGAGCTCTTGAAGAAGGAAACAGGTGCAGCACAGCGAGGGGCCCTGGGATGGATTGGTAGCGGTAATTCAGCTGAGCTGGAATTCCATCTCCCAGCATTCCCTTTCATGCACAGCTCCCAGTGTGAGGGGCCACAAGAGACCTTCTGCCTGAAAGTTGGGGGGCGGAAGCACAGTGGCAGCCATCTCCTCGGAGCCCTGAGGTCGGTGCCGGGCACAAGGCGCCACTGCTGCTCACATTGGCAGGATCTGCTGGCTCTCAGGGCTGGCTGGGGCTGCAGCCAGGCCCATGGGGCCTCCAGCTCCTGCCGGGTCCTCCTTCAGCTCCTCTGGTCCCGGGCCATGAAGAAGGATGCCAGCTCCTCCAGCAGGACTCCCTCATGGTGAAATTGGAGGCAGGGAGACGGTGAGAGGCTGATGCAGTGCCGGCCTCCCAGGTGCATTCCATCCTTGCGCCCTCCCCGTTACATGCATCATCCCTTCCCAGTCACCTGCCCTGCAGGCTCCAGGTCCCAGGATCACACACAGAAGTAATGGCTTCATGTAGTCTGTCTAACCAACTCCCACAATAGGATGAGGTCAAGTCCCTAAAAATAAATCCTTTATGATATATAATCTCACAGAGGTTCTGCTCCTCTGATGGACCCCTGACACAACAGCTCCTGAGCTACCGGCTCTGAAATCATCCTGATGAGCTCAGGAATGATACATAGGACCAATGCCAGGAGCAGCCTTCTGCCCCCGGCCTATGAGGACTCCCGAGTCACCCCAGGCACCATCAGTGGGTCCACTTCAGTCAGGCACCCAAGTCCATTTTGGAAGAAGCTTTGGCCCAGGTAGAAAACCTGGACTAGAGTCACTCCATCAGGACACAGGATCATCTGGGCGAAGAACATCTTCCCCACAGCCGCTGCCACCTCCCTCCCTTGGCTTATCCCAATGAAAATGCCCTCACTAGGTGTATCTCACTATATAAAGATGTGGTCACAGGATGTAGAGGTCTTTGCAGTTGACTAGCCAACAGTTGCTCTAAGCCAATCATAGTCATCCTGCTCTCCTTGCCAGGGATTGGTTTATAAGTGGCCCTATTCTGGCCAATGAGAGCCATTGTGGCAATTGTCAGCACTGTTTGCTAGTACTTCCATTTCTCCTCACTTCTGGGGAACATTTATTTCCTGGTCTCCTTGTGGTCAAGCGGGGCCATAAAACTAACCTTGGCCAATGAGTCATGAGAGGGAGGCCTGTGTGTCACTTCTGGGGCAGAGCCGTTAACTGCTGGTGGGAGCCCTTTGGCACTGCTACCACCAACAAGCAAGACGGCGGCTGCTCCCTCAGCCGGGTGTCTGAGTGATGCCAGCGAGGCGGCCCTCTATGGACCTGCTCTGGCACGTAGCATACGTGGAAATAAATCTTTGTCGTTTTAAGTCGCCGAGACTGTGAGATGTTTTGTTACTGCTGTGTAACCCAATTTTTCCTGGCTGTTACAAAATTCTACTGGGGGTTCCAGGACAGCTTCTTCTCTTCTGAGAATGAGGTACATATAGAAAGAGAGCCAATAACCCCCTTTTGTTCCTCTAGATGGTGCTATGTAGGGATGAGAAGCCTGGAGCTCAGCCTCCATACTGACACCAGAAGCCAGCCTGAGGGAACCACCACCCTGAAGACCACAGGGCAGAGGAACTGAGAGAAACAGGGATCCTTAAGGACGTGGCCAAACCACTGAGTCGACCAAGCCCGCAAATTCTCTTGCTGCTCGGCTTCCTGTTATGAGAGGAAATAAAATTCCTTCTTGTTAAGCCAATTTGAGTTGGAGTTTCTGCTACTTGCAGCTGAAAACACCCCAGCAGATAATTGGTGTAGACACACTTCTTCCTCACGTAAGCTGTGGAGGGAGTAGTTTTAAACCAACTTCACCCGTGAATAACCTACATCCAGAAAGGAGCAAAGTTTCAAAGCCACGTATCCTCTCCTCCTGATCAGAAGGCTAAGCAGGATGAAACTATGTATTAGGCAGCCAGAAGTACAGACACCAAACTCAAAATTGGCTTACGTAAAAAAAGCAGGGAGAGCAGAAAAAATTGGTTCATGTAACTGAAAAGGATGGGGCACTTGTAACTTCAGACGTGGCTGAATTCAGGGCTCAAAGATGCTGTCAGGAATCTGCCTTTCTCCATCTCTTAACCATGTTTTTTTTCCAGGTCGGCTTTACTCTCACTCAGGTCAATTGATCCTGGGGGGTGTTGGTTCTCATCTGATCAACCTAAACTTCCCAGTGTTGGGACACCTTTCCCAGGAGCACAGTGAAGGGCCTGAGTTGGATCCTAGCCTAGCTCTGATCGTGCACACATCCCTGAACCGACTGCAGCTGGAGAACATGGTGCTCTAGTCCAGCAGACTCATATCCCACACCTACCTCCAGGGCTAAGACTGGGGTCAGTCCTCTCTGAATGAAAGGAATGACGGGGGATAAAGGCTCAGTTCCCCCCAAAAAGCCAAGTATTTCTGCCAGAGAAAGGATGCCACAAAGGAGAAAACAGTGGATAAAGACATCTGTGTAGGCCTGGTGTACTTGGTTTTAATGAAGAGGCTGGGCTGGGCTAGGGGCAGGGGATATGACTGTTATGTCGAGTCTTTGCCAGTCCAACAGCAAGGAGGGAAAGGATAAGACTGGGGGGAGGAGCCGTCTTAGTTGGTGTTCACCAGGAAAAAGCCAGAGACAAGGCTTTTAATGCAAGTAGTTTATTTGGGAGGTAAAGACAAACACTGGCAGGGGAGAGAGGAAGTGAGGCAGGAAAGGGAAGGCAGCCAACAAAGGGTGTGTTTTCAGGCAGGCTGGAGCTGTGGGCAACTGCAGGAGACCCCACCTTGGAGTTATCCCACCTGAAGGGTGAGGGAGTTGGGTTATTTATCCACCAAGGCCAACTGGTGAGGGCTGTCACAGCAGGTTGATTCCTGGCATGTCCGTACCACCACGCAGGTGAACACAGGTGTGTTCTGGAGCTTTGGAGAGAGCTCACCGGTAAACAGATCCAGAGACTGGCTGTTGGCCTTCAACTTACAGGATACGGGCAAGACACCAGATATCTGCTGCAGAACGAACGTTAATTAGGCCAGTATTGTCTGCTCTACAAGTAACCACTTCAAATCCTAGCAGCAGCCCAGCGAGGCAACTTCCAGCATCCTGAAAAGCCTCAGGAAGTGGCCCTCAGCTGGGGAGGTGGGAGGGCACAGATTCGAATCCTGGATGCCTGGCTCTGAAGCTACTGCTGTCCCCACACACCCCACAAATTCAGCAGGGCTATTCTAGGCCACTGCCAGTCTCTGCCAACTTCTCAGAGAAGGAAAACCAAGCAGCCACTTCAGAGAGCCTCAAGGGCCTGTCTTTACCAATAGTCACTTTCTGGGCCCTGTTCTGGGCTCCCTGGGTGCCCACTGTGATCACAGTCAAGGCCTCCCCTTCTGTGACAGCTGCTCTTCCCAGAGTCTCTTTTCAGGAATGTTTTTCTGCAGATGCTAATGAATGACCCTTAAATTTCCCAGGAAAGGCTACCTCTTTTTGAAGTGGCTGAAGATCTCCGCTCTTGATTGCAATCTTCCCAGAGCTGATTTTGGCCACTCGGCTCTTACTTCTGAAGTGATGATGGGGGTGGGAGGAGAGGAAAGTGAGCAGAAGACAAGTGTTTGGCGCTCAGCTCTCCTACAGAAACTGCAGTCCCAGGAGGCAATTTTTTAGGCAATCAGAATTGTAAGGTAGAGAACAGAACTATTTTCTTTTCCGTTTTGTGCACAATTTCTCCTTGGTTTATACTCCAATATAAGGCACGCTACCTGTATAAATCATGACTTGTAAAGATTTGCCACTTTTTTGGTGATTTTAATCATAGGAACAAAAGTATTTCTAGAAGTCTCATCCCTAATTTTTAAAATTAAAGTCTATGGGGAAATGTGACTTGAGCTGGAGAAATTTATATTACATGTAATTTTTAGAAGTCACATATACATGCTCATAGATGTCAGAACACTTATGAAGCACTTGCCAGGCAGTGTTCTGAGCACTTTGCGTATATTAACTAATTTTAGCTTCACAACAACCCAATGATGTCAATGCTATCATTATTCCCATTTTGCAGATAAGAAAACTGAGTTTCAGAGAAGTTAAGTCACTAGCCCAAAGCAGAGCTGGGATTTGAATCCTAGCAGCCTGGCCCCAGAGCGTGTGCCCTTTAATGCTATTGTCCATTCACAGACAGATGCACGGGCCCAGGGAGACACTTGGGCCTCTGCAGACACACTCACGCCCACCACACACTCATACACGTGCCTCCAGCCCTCCCGCACACACGAGCACACACACGCTCCTTTCCACAGGCTCTCTCCCACTCCTTGGTGAGTCCTGGCACAGACGAGGGAGAGAAGGCTCTGCACTCGCAGCCTCATCTGGGAGGCTGGGACCCTCCTCTCCTGGTTTAAAGCCCAGCCCACACTCACATCGTCTTCCTCACCCCCTACGCGTGAGAGGGCAGGCCCCGCCTCTCCAGCACCACCGTCCACTCTGATCATCTCGTAAGGCAGGTGGGACCTGTCCTCCTGTTCAGCTGGGGAAAATGAGGTCCAGAGAGAAAAAGCAAGCGGCCCAGAGGCATCCTGGGAGCTGCAAGCCCCGCCCACCCCCGGCCGATTCCTCTGGGCACAGAGTGTACCTTTGCAGCCCGAGCAGATAAATTAAGGCCCCGGTTAGGGTGGTGGCATTTTGAAGGGTCTGTCACAGCGCAGGGCTGTCATACTAACGCCGGGTCAGGGGCTGAGGGTTACTATTGCCTAATAATACACGCGTCCCGCCCACGTGCCACCCTCCACAGCCCGCAGGCGGCCCCACAGGATGTTCCCATTTCACGTGGACCCCGAGCGAGCCAGCCGCCGGCACAGCAGCCAAAGCTGTAAATCTCGGCTTCTTCTCCCAACTGCTGGGCTCTCTCTCACACTTTTTGCGGCTGGAGTTCTTATGGGAAGACAAAAAATAAAAAAATAATAAAAAACAAAAAAAAATAAATTACTTGGGAATTTGTTTTTAATTAAGCAATAAGGCTCGATGGGGCCTGGCTGCCGCCTCATAAAGCTGCTCCCGGGGTGTGGGGAGGCATTTGGTCCAGATGAGTGCCTCAAATCAGCCCGGAATGTGATTAGATGATTACTCCCCGGAGTTAATACAAGATGATCTTCCCCAGAGTTGTCTTATTGCTATTATAAAAAGTCTGCAGGCAGGAGGGGGGAGGATGGCTTTGCTGCTTGGAGAAGATGAAAACGTCGATTCTAGCTGTCAGGGCGACATCAGGGCCTGAGCTGCCTGCCCTGCTTCCCCTCCTTCACCACACCTGCTCAAATGGTGAAACCCACCAAGCTGGATGGATGCTAACATCTTTCAAAATAAATGGGTTGTTTCATTTTGACAAAATAAATAATTCATCAAAAAATATATATAATAGAGCAGTTAACAGTTGGAGAAAATTACTAGATTAATGGCAGGACAGTTGCTTCAAAAGTTGAATTTCAATGGGTTAAGAAAATTGATAAAATAATTAAATGTTTTTGCAAAACTGACTCTTATGACCAAGAAGAAAGAGTCAGAAGCAGAGGATGTCATATCAAGTGATTACATTTTGTCTGAATATACATGCCTCCTCCAAACCAACGTGACTCAACCTTTGTTCATTCTAAGAATGTTTGGGCAGTTGCAAGCATAACCTACATTTTACAGTTGCAAGCATAACCTCCAAACCAACATGACTCAACCTTTGTTCACTCTAAGAATGTTTGATAGTTGTAAGCATAACCTACATTGTGTTAAATGGAAGATAAACATTTTCATAATTTTATTTCATTTTTGAAGATCAAAGTACTTTCTTCTTTTTAAATTTTCTCTCTTATTTTGTCCCCGTCTTGAGATGACTCACTTTAAGGGGCTTTTCTCTGATAGTGGCTGTCCTCAGATAATGAGGACCCCCTGCATGTGTAATAAACAGAGGTACAGATGTGGTCTAAGGTTAAATTTCATGCTCCATCAGAAAATTCCTAAGGGAAAGAGACCTCATAAGTAGCAGACACATGCAAGCACTTTCAAATACAATTGTGATGCCAACAGCCAAGAGACATCCCTCTTTAAAAAGACAGCTTATGAATGTAACGAATGTGGCTGAAACTTCAGGCAGAGCTCAACATGTTGGCACCAGAACATTTTCTAGTACATTCCCTAACTCTAGACTGTGCTCCTAACGGAGACTCAAATCAACCACAACAGGTACTGCCGTGCATATCATGGGTGTGCACGTGGGGACTGAGCCCAAGTCACTTGTCCTCTGGGTGTTAGTCTCCGGGGAGGCAGAATCACAGAAGACCGTGATGTTGAGCAACAGATCAGTGAGAGGGCTCAGCAGGATGCCGTGGGAGAGATGGAGAAGGGCAGGAGTCAGGGGAGCCTCTGCAGTGGGAGGGATGGAACATCTGAGACCTGAAGGCTAGATTTCCCAGGTGAACCTCAGAGAGAAGGGTGTTTCAGAAGAGGAAGCAGCGGCGATTCAAAGGTGTGAGAGGAAGGCTGAGCACACCTAGCCGGGACGCTGACAGCCTATGCACTGGGGAAGAACGATGCCTTGGGTGTTGATTCTAATGAAGAAGAACCACCCAAATCCAGTGTCAGACCTTTGGTAGTCCAAGCCTCTGAGGGCTGAGGAAGGAGCAGCCTTAAAGGGCTGCAGGTATGTGTGGGAACCACAGCTTTCCCTGACTGTCCAGACCTGGATGTTCTACCCAGAGAGGAGCCCAGCATGGTGGAGGCAGCTGGGTCTTGCAGCCCTTGCCCAGGACTCCCCTTCCCCTGAGGGTCCTCGCCGCCTCCTTGCCGCCCCTCTGTGCAAAGGTCCAGAGTCAGGAAGGACGCTGGTCACCCACTACACTCTGACCTGCGAACAAACACAGGCCAAGGCTCCGACACTGTGGTGAGAACTTCCTCAAAGCTAGGCAGGAGCAAAAGGGAAATAAACAAAGAAAGCAGTCATCATGGCCGTTGCTACAGTCCATCTGGAGCTGGCGATGAGCTGGGCACTCAGAACTACAACAGGAAAGTACAACCCACTTTATTTGATAGCTTTGTCCCATTCACTTTGGATAGAGTTCCTCTACAGCACTGCCGACATTTGGGGCCAGATAATTCTTTGTTATGGGGCTGCCCTGTGCATTGTAGGGTGTTTAGCGTCATCCCTGGCCTCTACTATCTACAAACCAGGAGTACCACCCTCTCAGTTGTGACAATGAAAAATGTTCACAGATATTGTCCAATGTCCCCTGGGGAGGAAAATCATTCACATTTGAAAGTCATTGGTTTTAAACATGAATCTTAAAAGGAACATCTCCAGGCTGGTCAAGAGACCCAGGTGTCTGACCTGCTCATACAATCCTCAAGGGTTGGTTTACTCAATAAGAGGTCCTATAGAATTCAAAAGGGGTTGTGTTGTGGGCAGTAGATTAAAAAACAAACAGGGCTTCCCTGGTGGTGCAGTGGTTGAGAGTCCGCCTGCCGATGCAGGGGACGCGGGTTTGTGCCCCGGTCCGGGAAGATCCCACATGCTGCGGAGCGGCTGGACCCGTGAGCCATGGCCACTGAACCTGCGCGTCTGGAGCCTGTGCTCCACAGCGGGAGAGGCCACAGCAGTGAGAGGCCTGCGTAACCGCAAAAAAACAAAAAACAAACAAACAAAAACCTTCCAACTTCCCTCCTAGACTGACAACTTAAGAAAAGGTGCCCCCTCTGGACTGGTGCAGCCTACAGGACACAGCATGGCAAGTGGAGTGAAGGTTGGATTTCAGCCCCCTCTCATCTCTGCTGAGCATCTTTGTGCAGTGAACAACCTGCCCAGCTGTATGCAATTACCATGAAAAGAAAGCTCCCATCTGGGCTCAGAACTGGGGAATGTTCAAAACCAAAGGAAAATGGAAAATAAATGCATTCTGGATTTTTGTTAGTTGCCATATTGTCCATTGGGAAAGTCTGTTTATGTTTTACATGATGAATTCAGGAAAAATGTAAATTGAATAAGGAGGTTTAGACTCCAGATACTCAAATAGCCTTTGGACAGGTGAAACCCTATCTTGACACTGACTGTAGCCAGAGGCCTCATGTGACTCTGATGCTCATGTTGGCAGGGAGGAAGGGAACAGGAGGTTCAGGGTTGTCTTAATACCAGAGAAGGAAAAGCAGAAGGGACCCACATTCTTAAACAGGAAATAGATATTCCAAAATCACACCCCGGTCACAATGCAGAAAGCAGTCATAAAAATAGCTCATCCTTGCACACGGCCTGCTGTGTGCCTGCCCTGCTGTAGACACTTCTGGTGCATTAACTCACCCACTCTGAGCTTGGCTGATCTCTACCTTGAAGAAGCAGAAAATTCAGTCCTTAACTTCATGCTCAGTCCCCTGCCTTGAGGTGCTCAGCGGGTCTCAGATGCCTTCAGTCCCATCTGAGACTGACTATAAGGCTTTTAAAAAGCCTAGATGGCTGAGACAAAGCAGCTAAGAGATATCAAAGTGGCGGACTCAGGGGAGGGTAGGAGACGTGAGGGAGGGACGTCAAGATAAACCTTTGGGTACTGTGTTGTTTACTTTATTAAACTTTGCAATTTAATTTGGTAAAACATTTGGATTTTGCGTTGCTCTTGTTTTTGTTTTTTTTGTTTTGTTTTGTTTTTTGTTTGGTTGGTTTTTCTTTTTGTCTGTTGTTTGTTTTACAGTAAGTATTTTCAGTTTCAGCAAGACACACACACACACACACACACACACACACACACACACTTTAAAGGGCCCTTAGGCAATGCAAAGGCCAGTCTTGACACTGGCCATGTCAAGTTCTCTGTGTAATTTCTTCTATTCATGCCAGACTTTCAGGACAACCCAGTGAGCAGTTCCAGCCTGGGAGGGGGAATGAAGGGAGGGGTCAGGTCAGTGTCTCTCCATTAGGTAGTTAGGTTGACCTGTTGCCCCATAGTTCCTACAGGGGCCAGACCACAGACTCTAGGCAAAGCTCTGAGGTCTGCTCCCCAGTCACCAAATAGGCAATAACCACTCTGGATGGCAAAGAAGTTGAAATGAGAGGCCCGCCACCGAAAGGCGGGCAAAAGAAGGGCACATGGGTCTTGTGCAAACTTGGTACTGACTTAATAGGAAATAGGAGCAGTTTTTGCCCTGGGATCTATAATTTTTTTTTCATTGCAATCAAAAGAAATCAAAGTGCAGTGCAGCTCTAGGCGGGGAGACAGTCCTACATTTCTTCAGACCCAACAGCAGTCATCTATTTTCTGAATCCCTATGGAATTTGTGGCTGGAGAAAATCAGAGCAATGGTGACATGATTGTTCTGTCTCCCATCTCTAACTGTGCCGCCCAGCCAGGAAAAATCAAAACAAGGAGGGCAGCCAGGTGGTTTATGCAGCCTCTAGTGAGACGCAGGGGATGGTGGGAGTGCGGAAGACAGTCATAATTTCT